GAAGCACTGGAGGAGCTGAGAGTAGAATTTCCCATTGTAAAGTGGTAATCCCAAAGAGCAAGCAAGCTTGGGTGAAACCAGTGCTTGTTTGTTATAAACCAGACAGCTTATGATCCTGGTGTTGACTATTTTTATTTTCCTTTTGTTATCATTTAAGTTGCTATCACTTTCTGAAAGCTGGGCAAGGATATGTATTCAGAAGAAATCTAGCCTCAGCCTGGTCCCATCAAGAAAATTAACTGACCAAAAGTCAACATTTTTCCTACTCAGATCAAGTGCAATATCATTTTATGTCCTTAGAATCAGAGCTTATCATCAGGGTCCAGAAGGACAATTTAGCTTAAGCTGCATAGTCATGAAAGTCTTCAATGTTAGACTTTCAATCTTATCTTTAGATTATACTATCTATACGGTCACAGGAAGGAAAAAAAAGCAGGACAGGACTGAAAGAAAATATGAGACCTTGCTACTTAAAATGCAGTCTGTGGACCATCAGTATCACCATCTTATGAGAGATTTTCATATATGTAAAATCTAAGGCACCACCCTAGACCTACTGAACCAGAATGTACATTCAAACAGGATCTCCTGGTGATTCATGTGCACATTAAAGTCTGAGAAGCACTGCCATAGACAATCTAGCCGTGAATTGTTGAAATTTGATTGTATACACTCCATTAAACAAGGCCTTGGGGAACTTAAAAGGTTGTTTTTAGTCTTTCCAGCTACTCTGCTCCTTTCAGTTGCAAAAGCAACAGGGCAGCTAAAATATTCTAAGCTCAAAGTGGCCTCTTATAAATTATTAGCTGGGCTATATTAAATTTCTTTCTGTATAACGTTGCAGTAAAATTTCTATGGCAAGAAACAGAGAAAAGTCATGCATTTTTACCCCAAGAAAATTGGTTTATGCTTCCTAGAGAAATTCCATAGTCACATCATTCCAGGTACCAAACAGAGTCTAGATCTTCTTTGGTTGCTTCTTGAAAGAGATGCCACAACACCACTCAACTTTGAATAGAGAGAGGTGGAAATGACCATAATGGGAAACAGGTCTTATATTATTGCATAAGTGAAATTTCTGAAATTTGTTGAATATATCAATTGTCACATTGTATGAGAAAGACAGTAGTAGGTTGTCCAGGAGTGTTGGGAGAAAAGGCCCCTGGAACACAAGCAAGACCCATGGACGTCAGGAATTGTCTTAAATCAAGTTGTCTAAAGCCAGAGCCTGAAATGAGGATTCAGACACGTGCAATGTATTGAGGCAGGGCTCTCAGGTAAAGGAGAGTGGGGAAGCAGGATGGGCAGATGAGCAGTGTGGTAGGAGCTGATGTGGTATCTAGCTTCAATGCAATCCCACAAGGAACTCTGGAGTGTGTCTTTCACCACAGAGCTCCCTTGGAGGTGAGGGGACTAGCCTGTGGTGTCCCCACAACAGGAAGTCATTGACTGCCCTTGGAGGCTAGACATGACCTCCTGGGTGAGGCAGCTCCCCTTGGCCGAGGACAATTCTCCAGAGAAGAGCCCCCTGTGACACCCAACAGCAGCTTGGGGATGGGTGCATCAGCTGGGAAAATAGATCTGGGCAGGGGACGAAAGGACTACAAGGGAATCATATTGGAAGGGAACAGAGACTCTGAGGCCTCCATATTGTTAATCATAAATACAAAGCTCAGTACGACCTGAAAGCCTCAGAGAAGACAGAAAGCAGATCCTGATATAGGGCATACTTTCCATTCATCCATATTTATTTAATCTGTATAATTTCAGCCCCTGTGATGTGCATAGCTCTAAGCTGGGCATTGTCTGGTTTTTTAAGTATTTCAATATATGGGTATTACTTTGGGTTCCCTTTAATGTAAGCCCCGAAACAAGGACTCGGGTGCAGGGGGTTTATCTGAGAAGTAACTCCCAGAAAGCACAAGGGAGGGTTAGGGGAAGTGAGACAGGGAAGGGAGAAAAGGTTCACTCCAAAATAGACTGAGAACTGTTTGCAGTAAAAGACCTTGTGTGGCAGGCGACCACTGGCAAACAGGGCTCAGTCGCATTGGTGACTTTTTGAGGAATGCACCCAGAACTATGCCCCTGATTCCCAACTCTTGTTGTGTGAGGATTACTTCTGGAGGTGTTAACTCCACAACCCATCCTGGCTAACTTGATTGTGGGCTGTATATAATGTGACTTCAGAAAGAAGATGGATAAGTTTAGGCTAATCAAAGAAGGTTTTATACAAGAAACAAGATTTGAATATAGGGCTTGACAGATTGCTCCATCTGAGACAGATGAAAATCTAAGGAATGTGGTACTATACCAAGGTCAAGAAAGGGAGTTTGAGCTTGACCCTGCAGGAATGAGATGTTATAAAGATTAATACTGAGGTAGTATATAATAAAAGCACAGATTTATTAAGATCATTACGGCAGAGGAGTGTAGCAAGATGGTCAAGCATGCAGCCATTCAACAAAAATTCATTAAGTGCCAGCTGTAGACCCAGTATTCTCAGCATCAGGGCTAGAGAGAGCATTCCAGAACACATCAAGCATATTCCTCCAGCCTGACTTAAGTCGGGACTGAGCAGCATTCCCCCATGAGTAAATATGACCTCTCACATGTGGTTCCCACCTTGCCAACTCTAAAGGTTCAGGGAGGCCAGCCCAGATAACTCAGGTGGAACCTGTGGGTGTCCTGGGAACATCTGAGGGAATTCTCCTCAGGTGGGCTGGAGGTTACTGAGCCATGGCTCAGGAGGCCAAGGTTTTAGTTCACGCTCTGTGAATAAGGCATTTCTCCAATGAGATTTTTTCCTCTGTAGGACTCAGTTTCATTTTTTCTAAAAGTAAGAACACTGGACTTGAGAAGGTCTAACCTCTTCTCCTACAGATTCTCTGCTCTGACAAAACCACAACCCTTGTTTTACAGAGCTGTACCTGTGTGATCTGCGGTCTCCTCAAATTGCTGTCACTCATGCAACATATTCTTCCAGAAAAGTCTACCAACGCTTTTGGTCCTGCCTTGAAACTAGCATGGCAAAGTCATTTCTCATATTAAAGGTCATTTTCCCATTTGCAAGGTCCATAAGGCAAAACATTCTTTTTTATTTCTTTCAAATTAGCCACCTCGTATTCCTCTTAAATAAAATCTAGTGGAAATTCTTCACCTCATCAATTTTCATAACTCCCTGCAAACTCAGGCACGCCTTCCCTCTGTGCGGAAAGCTCCTCTATGGCACATGTTGGCTTTCTATCTACGTGAACAAATACCTCTAAATCAACATTAAACAATATTTATTATTTCGTTTTGTATAATATTTTTAAAGAAAAAAAATACTTGTGAGAAAATGTGCTGATTGATCACGGAATAGACCATGCCTGGGGGAAGACTTTCTGTCCATAATACAGAGCTGCTACAAAGTTGGGGAAGTGGTGGCTTACCCGAACCTTAGCTGTCGAATGCAGGAAAAAGTAAAATCCCGTTCCAGATCTATAAAATGACAATAATGTCAGTACTTGTAAGTATCCCCAAATCTGCACTGTCAATAGCAGAAGCTAAGCAGGCCAGCTGTTCAAATTCCCACCCTGGACAGAGCTCTGAGCAGCGCTTCTCTGAATATACCCATCTGCGAGAATCAACAGCACGTGTTGTCCTTGAGTTTGGCAAACGCATGTGAGCAAATGCAAGTCAATCAAAGGCAGTAAAGTAACAAGTGTTCCAGGTGTAATAATAATAAATTTCAGCAGCCAAATTAGTGGGACAGGCAAGACGCAAAACCTAGGTGGGAATTAAAGCTGCTCTTTTAAGTGGGGAAAAATCAAACTGTGTAGAAAAGAAGCATGACATTGGTCACACTTGCTAGAAAGATCTAGATTCCCAAGGACAAGGAGCATTATTTTTATTCCACTAAAAAAACAAGTGTTCATGGCTAATGTTGCAGCACTAACTTGCACTAAGTGAAAAATTTCATTTGGTTGCTATTTTTGATAAAGAAACTATTTTCGAGTCTTCAGTGAGGGCTGGACTCCAGAGAGATCAGGTCATAAATGTCATGTGTTTATAAGAATTTGAAAGAAAGAAATAGTATATCTGTCAGCCTTGGACATACAGTAATGAGGCCTCAAATTTTATGCATATAATGACTTTGGAAAACATTTTAGTTTTACTCTTTGCGATTTGAAAGATTAGCTGTAAGAAAAAAAGAAGAAGAAGGATTCATTTTATATATTTGCATTCTGTAGCTAGCCATGTTGTTCAAAATCCAAAGTTCCATGAAAAGATGGACTTGGAAGGGCCATTTAGTCCAAGTTTCTATCCATGTAGGAGAGTCTGTTAAGAATTTATTCTCGCCTACAATACTTCAGGCGGAAAGGGTAGAGGGGGTCATTTGTCAAAACCTCACTCTCCTACAAGGCCACGATTGCTTTTCTTCCCTCCTTTTTTCTTTCTTCCTTCCTTCCCTCCTTCTTTGTTTCCCACCTTCCTTCCTCCTTCTTTCTTTCCTTCCTCCCTCTCCTCCCCCCACTCCCTTTTCTCATTCCCTCCCTCCACTTTTTTCTGCCTCCTTCCTTCTTCCTTCCATCTTTTCTCCTTCCTTCACCATCTTTCTTTCCTTCTTTCTTTCTCTCCTTCTTTCCATCATCCCTCTTTATACTTTCTCCCCTTCTTCTATCCCTACCTCCCTTTCTTCCTTTTTTAAAAAAAATAGCTTTGGAGCCAGCCTTGATGGCTTAGTAGTTAAAGTTCCACCCGCTCTGCTTCAGCAGCCCTGGTTTGGTTCCCAGGCGCAGAACCACACCACTCATCTGTCAGTAGCCACACTGTGGCAGCAGCTCACGTAGAAGAACAAGAAGGACTTATAACTAGAATATCCAACTATGTACTGGGGCTTTAAGAAGCAAAACAAAAGAGAGAGAGAGGAAGATTGGCAACAGATTTTAGCTCAGGGAGAATCTTTCCCAGAAAAAAAAAATATACACACACACATATATATATACATATATATATAGCTTTGTTATTGAAAGGTTTTCCTACTGTCATAAAAAGACTCCATTCCCTCAAATCTCCCTATTTGTGTGCACCCTCAGCCTCAGGGCCCATGAGGATGAGTCTACTATTTGACTTCTGGGACACTTTTCTCCAAAATTCCACCAAAGCCTCCATTCCTCTTCTTTCCCAAATTCCAAATCTCTCTGAAACCTCACATGTGTGGTTTACGAACTGAAAACCAAGATTGCAAATTAGAGAAGAAGCATTATTTTTAATGCTTATACATTAGCTATAGTTTTATGATTTCATTGCTTTATCTTAGGGATGGAAGAGGAGCTGGCCAGGTAATTACAATACAATAGTCAAATCTATTGCATATTTACCACATGCCAGAAAATGGGCAACGTACTTACACGTACCATCTACCTGAATTCTCACCAGCCACAAGCAAGCTACTATTAGCCTTTTTGTACAGAGAGTTTAAGAAACAAACCCAGCTCAGCCAGCTAAGAAAAGACAGTGTCAGGCATTGAGTCTCTATTAATACCCAACCTAGTGCTCTCAACCACTATCCAGTTCTGTCTTTACATGTGTGCAGTGTTTAATCTCCAAAAAGGCAATGTATCACTTAATTCCACCTAGTTTTTATGTTTAAAATTCCCAGGAATGCGAGAAGCTTTGTTCCCATTTATGAGTTCCTCCTCCCTGCAGGAGAGGCAGTCCGCAGCCACAACACTCACTAGGTTATCTCTTGACACCTCTCCCTTGTCCAGGATGCTCCTTTGTCCTGGAACACACTCCTCATGCCTCTCTTGAAGGGATGTCTGCGCCCTTCCTTCCAGTCCTGCGCAGTTGTGCCTGCCCCATCACAGTACCCTGGAGATCACTTCCTGCCCTCACCCTTGTCTCTCACTCAGCACTTTGCCTCAGCCCCAGAAACATCCTGACCTTGGTTTGAAGTTCTTACTTGGAGCCTTCTCAACTCCGGCAGATTCTGAGAGCTTCACGGGCAGACTCCAGGCCCTATGTAGCACTATGCACACAACAGGCCCTCAACTCACGCGTGTCGGATACGTTAATCAACATGTCTCCTTTCTTAGCATCACCACCAAAGGCTAAGGATCTCCCTCCCGTGATCTGCACACACAACTCTGATTTCTCGAAGGAGCATGAACACACCTTGACTCCCAAATTCCTTTTTAAGCTTGCTCTGTCTGCTTTACAGCATCACTCAAACTTTGAATTTCTCCTAGCAGCCTGCACGAAAAGAGGGGATTTAGTAAGCAGCCAACAGTATATTTTGTGCTCAAATTCCTCACTTCACACGAACAAAAAAGAAAAACGACGCTAGCCTCTTGAGACCCTCAGCTTCCGAAGGAGATGTTAGAAGAAGATTGCCTTTGACTGAGGCCCTCGAGACGAGCCTGGGCTTCCCATGGCACGTGTAACCATGAGCAAAAAGCCCCCAAAGCAGTAGGGCATAATTTTCTCTCTTAATAAAAGATTAATTCCAATATAAAAGGCTGTGTGGGGACCACCATGACTAGTTAGCGGGGCCGTTCCATTTCCCCACGCTGGCTCTTACCTGCTCTGGAAAGCTTTCTAATGTGCTGTCGGGATGTCATTCCAGAGATAAAAGGATGCAAATGAAACCAAGGAGGGGGGTGCGCAGACCTAGATTAAGATGCCAAAGTTCTGCTCTCAGTTCTGACGTTCCCATTTCCATTCATTGGTTTCCATTTCCCTTTACCAGACCATCTCAAAGAGGCTTTCTATTCTCGGGTTCTCCATGGCATGATCTGCATGTTGTAAACACACCTCCGTGTGCTCTTCCTTCTCCCTGGGAGCTCATTCCCTATTTGATGGTCTGGCCAATTTCTGGTGGTGGGAGCAGCTACTGCCACTTTTTTGAACACTTCCTAGTAGACAGGCCCTATGCTTGGCACATTAGTTAGAGTTATATCTTTTAATACTCATAAATCCAGAGACAATGCCTGTATTGTATTGTAAATCTATGATAAATAATATTATATGTCATATAATTATTAAATTATAGTTAAATTCATGTTTAATAAAATGCACAGCTACATGTGTGAATAAATATTAATAATCCTCATTTTGCAACTTAGGTTGGAATGATCATCCTGCATCCCTCAGCTGAAAAGAAGACAGTGTGGTATTCGAATCTAGGCTTTTCAACCTCTTAAGATCTTGCCTTTAACTACTTTGATATACTACCTATCTGTTCATCCTTCAAAGCCATGTTCAAACACTATTCTCTACACAAAGAGCCTTCTTTGGTGACAACAAAGCTAACTAGGTGATTCTTCTACCTCCCAATAATATTTTTACATACATAACTGAGTAAATCTGAGTCTCATTAAGGCCTATCTCAACATAGTGCCAAAATCAGAAGAAATATCAATCCCATATGCAGAAATTGTAGAAAAGTAGCCAAAACCTTTTTGCAGACTCTTAAAAAAATACCAAAGGTAGATTACATTCATTAGACCTAGTGCAAAAAATTTCAAAATCATCAGTTTTCTCTATCTCTGTGTACGTATATGATATATGTGTATATATATACACACACACACACATATGTATGTATGCAAACAAATAATAAACATTAAATGAAAAGACGACTTATGTTAGGAGTGGGTTAATCATAAAGCTAACTTTATTTTTTCTCCTACTATCTTTTTCAATCTATTCTTCGCTGGTTCTTCCCTTTCCCCTGGATAAAAAATTTAGCAGGCCCCTGGACTATCTGGTCACAGCTGTATAATAAATGCCCCGTGACTTTCAATTAGTAAATTAGAATAGTGAGGAAAACGCCTAGTCCCTGGAACTGTCAAAGGCCCTCGCTGGCCTGCCGCAGGCAGAACCTTGCCATTCAGGAAGGAGGGGGCTATGGGAAGTTCCTTCTCCCTTCCAGCTCCTCCTTCCATGACTCTCTAAGTCTGGTTTCTGACCTTTCTAGGATGAGAGCACGAGATGGGGTTACAGGAAAGTTTATACTTGACCCAAAATCTTGCAAGCCGCCTTCGCACTTTATGATAACAAAAGCAATGCACATTAGATAGCAACTTATAATAGTAAAGGTAGCAAATATTTTTTAAAATTCAAAGCAGCACAAAGAAGGGAATAGAGTATATATGTTTAACATGCTTAGAAAAGTGTCCAGCGAATGGTAAGTTCTATATAACTGTTAGCCATGAAGATGAGGAGGATGACGATGCTGATATAATCATACAGTGGGAAACAGAGTTGTCAAGAAGCTTGTAACTTACTTTGTGAGATGAAATGAATGGAAACCAATTAGAGAAGCTTTAAGTGCTCATCTAACCATTTTAATACTTTTAAAAGTCATAATAGGTCTTAATAAACAAGGTGGAACTTGGGAGAATTTAAGCTCATTTGAGTCTGATGTGTGGCAAATATATATTATACAATATGTGAATGTGTATATGTCTATGTACATATATAGACATTACATAAAGTGTTATTGTCCCTGTCGTGGTTTTCCATTTTCTATTTTTTTCTGTTTTTTTTTCATGTCCCCTAAAATCCAACTAATTTTGTAGGATAAAGTGATGAGAGTAAATCGCCCTAATCCTAATAAATAAACCACAGCCTCCCATGAAAGAAGGCACACAGGAACCTCAGTGGCGCTGTCAGCTGTCAGTGCTGCAGCCCACTGCACACCCTCACTAGACTCGTCTCTGTTCAGAGCAGATCAGCAAAAGGCTGAAGCTGAAGGACTGGCATTATTCCCCCCTCTCCGGTCACCTGCCAGTGGATCCCCAGAAACTGGTGTGATTGGAACATCTTTTCTAAAGTTGAGAAGCCCCAAAAGGCTTGGGGCAGACAGTAGAGCCCAAGAATTACGAAGTGGGAGTTCTTCAGGTGGAAGCTATCAGGATGTGAAGGAGGATGTGCTAGGAAAACCTGAGAGGCAGTTGATGATCGTGAACCCAGATATTTATATAATGTCAATTTGAATATTTGCATGCTTTTCCTTTCTCTTGATTATTTCCTTTTGCTCACTGGGTCTGGATTTTGAAGCTTGATTAGGAGTTTTTCAAAGAACAAGGAAGTAAGAGCATTCCATACAGAAGTACTATCTGCAATGACATGAAATAGTCAGGGTCCTGCAAGTGGCTCTTGGAGACACTTTGTTACCAGGTGGTTCCTCTAAATCAGTGGTTCTCAGCCCTGGCTGCATAGTTAGATCTACCTGGGGAGCATTTAAAAAACCCAATGCCCAGGCTGTCCCAAGAGAGGGGGACTCAACCATCAGCATTTGTTAAAAGCTCCCTGGATTATTTCAACATGCAGCCAGGATCGAGAAGCTGTGCTGCTAGTCCAGCCTTGTGCTGACAGGTGCCTTCCTTTTCTATGTACCAAAACCCCATATCTTAGCTTAGCTCCGTAAACACGAGAGGAATGGGGAGGCATGGGAGGACTACAGAATGGCGGAGGAGAAGAGGATTGGTTTTGTGGCCTGAAAGTCCTGGGTTCATATCCCAGCTCCATCACTAACCTTTTAGCTACGTGCATTTGAATCAGTTACTAAACCTCATTTTCCTTCTTTGTTCATTCAGTGGGAATAAAAATAATATCACTTTTTCAAGGGTTTTGTCAAGATTAGAGGGCTAAGATGAAAAGAGCTTAGCACAGTGTCTGGAACATGATAAAGTTTCCATAACTGATAGCTGTTACAGTTATTATTTGCAAAGTACCTGCAATTTTAGAAATAGAATAGTATGTGCTATTGACAAAGGAACAGTGATGCCACAGTCACATACACAGGATAGCGCATTTCAAAGGAATATATGTTCGCACTACTGATCTCTTTAATGTTAACACCTGCCTCTAAATTCGTAAGTGCTCATAATTATGGATATTAACTTTCTAAATGAAGGAGGTATTTCCTTATGCAGGATGTGGTGCAGAAAGTGAATTGAAATGCAATGGATGCATTCAATGTCTCTGTTGAAGACCTCTAAGTGATGTGGAGACATTAGTGCATCCACCTTGGCAGGTATCCAGTGGAGTAGATAAGAATATGTGCCATCATCCAAGGACAGATCAACGAAGTGGCCCGAGAACTTCTGGAGTCATAAAAATCATAAAATGTTTAACTTGTAAGAGATCATATAGTTCAATGATTTTAAAGTATATAAAATCTTGGTAGTGGAACACTTTCCTCAATAGAAATCTTAACTGCTAATACCCAATATTTGAAGCGAAATTCTTGCTGTTGAAGTGAGGCTTACCTGCTTCACCCGGAAGGGCTGTTTGGAGTTCTAGTGATTCCAAAGAACACATTTTGAAAATCACTGATTGAGTCAGACCCACTTGTGGTGGGCTGTTACTTTGGTAACACCCAATGAAACTCACCTCCTGGTATTCTTGCCATTGTGTGTTCTCCTCCAGCATTGAGTATGGACTTGATTGAGTATGCGTCTGGCCATTGCCAATGGGACATTAGCAAGCATGATGCAAGTACATATGGCCTTGCTTCTTGGTATACTCATTCTTTGAACCAGCTGCCGTGCTATAATAAAGGTTGATGAGACTATGTGAAAAGAGAGACCATGAAGAGAAGCATTGAGGTACCAGATTCGCGAGTGAAATCTTTCTGGATCCTCCAGCCTCAGTTTAGACTTCAAACAACTGCAGCCTCATGAGAGACTTGAAGGGAGCCAGGAAAAGAACAGCCCAGCCAAGCCAAGTCCAGACTGCAGAATCATGATGGAATAAAGTGATTGTTGCTTTAAGCCACTAAGTTTTGGGGTGAATGGTTGTATAGTAATAAATAACTCAAAAGTTATTTCATGAGCCCCTCTTATATCACTGGCATCTATCACTCAAGCTTGCATAAAGAAAGTGCCTCAATAATAAGTATTGAACTAACCTGATTTAACCACTAAGTGGAAGAACTAGAAATATAATCAAAGTCTTCTTGTTCTGAATTCAACTCTTGTGCTACAATTCACCTGACCCCGTATCAGTGGAATAAAACCCCTAAATTCTAGATATCCACTCTAGACTCCTTAATATTAGCTATATTTTGAGATAGAAAAAACCATTTTTGTCTCTAAAACCAGAAGTCTCAACTCAGAAAACGGCTAAGAACAAAAGGCTTCTAAGCAATGAAATAAGATGTCACAACGTCCGTGGACTTTTCTTAGAAGAGGGAATCTCTCTCAAAACCTACATACTCTTATTTTAAACAAACTTCTATTTTAACATGGTTCTCTGGATTCGTGATTCATAGCAGATTGGGTGGAAGACACTTGAAGCAAATATATTAAAACTGCAATAAAAGACAAGAATAGAATACAAAAACTACAGAAGAAATATAGACACAAGCAATCAACAACATTTAAGAGTATGAGACAATTTAACATAGATATTAGCAACCCTACACACCATTCACAGCATCACAATAGTATAATATACTAGGAGGACTGTTTAGTTATTAATGGTCTTGAGATGATTGCAATGAAAGTTTTATATATTCTGTTTGATAATTATTATGGCATTTAAATTGCACAGTACCATAGTGTACATATAGTTTTTGAACCATTACCTGGTTTTTAGGAAAATTATCACTTCCACATCCCACAGCATTTCTGATTGTTCCATTTGGTTCTGGTGGAGCTGAACTCCATGACCCTAGAAGAGGGCATAAAACCTGGTTCTGTCCAATTAGCGTATTCCCTTCTATAGCACACAGCCATTGCTTCAGGGATGGGCACATGACCCAAGCCTGCCCCAACAGTTTGCCCCCTGATTTTTTCCCAAGTTATGCAGAAAGTTGTCCTCTTCTCCCCTGGATCATAAGCTCTAAGGATGCTCTGAAGCCTGGATAGGTGGTGGGAATGGAGGAATGCTAACTGAAACCGCCTTTCTTCCACATACAGAGAGCCTTTCTTAGAACAACGCTAAAAAGATATCAGAGTTGCTAAGAAATTGGAGGGAAGACAAAATTCCAGTGGTGACCGAATTCCTGAATCGGATCCTCGTCTCACACTGTGAACTCCTTAGACACACAAGCTTTTACAGACCCTTTCTAAGTTGATGGCTATTTTCTCTTGCATACAAGAGAATCGGGACTAATAAATCCACTTGGCAGTTTTCAAAATGCTTTCACATTCATTATCAATTGGTCCCTCACAGCAATCTACAAAGTGATCGGGAGAATTGGATGATCCCCATCTTGTCAACAATGACAATGAGCCTCCAGCGAAGGGCCTTGCCTACATCCACAGAATAAGTTAACTATGGAGTCTGGTTGAAAAATAAGGTCTTATGATTTCAAGCCCAGGAAATTTCTCACTTCATTGATGTCACAAAATTATTTTCCAACAGCTCCTATTGGTAAAATAGTTTCAGGGCTTAAGTGGTAGAAATTTAGTTATGTGGGATGCATCATTTCCCATTCTCATTGGGTAACGGAGGCTTCAATACTGGAAGGTGTATTCGTCAGGTTGACCTATCTTTGGTACACTATCAACCTTTAGGGATGACTCACAGTAGGAAAATAGGTTCAGAGGGTTTTAGGTTGGGTACCCTGAATGAAGAGCCTCAAGATGGGGGTTTTTGTGCAAGTGACTATTGAAAGTGAGCTCCCAAGAGAAGAGAAGTAAGGGATGCAGGATAGGGCAAAGGAAGGAGCCAAGTAAGGATGTGATGTCATCTGAGTCTAGCCTCAGACTAATCACACAGAGAGTCTGGAGTGTGAATGGTACCACAGTGTTATCATCTCCTTGAGGTAAGGGGTCCAGCTTTGTGCCCTGATATCAGTCATTGGCTTTGGGCTGCCTCCACTCTGGGGTAAGGGGAATAATTTCCAAATGTTTCTGGGAAAAGCAGCTCCTGTTGATTGAGATAATACTCTAGAAAAGAGGTATGAAGGACAGCTATGTGCTCTTAACCACTGACACCTGTGGTAGCTGCTGCATCCACCGGCCATGTAAAAGGGTTCTGGGTGGGGCACACAGCGTCTACAAGAAGTCTAAGCAGGACTCAGCCTGAGACAACAGTTCTTCCACCATCTTCTGCGAAAAACATTTTATGCAACACAGACCTAAGCATTTGTGAAGTAGCCATCCAATGCCAGCCTTGGGAACATGTGCAGTGGCGTCAGATCTTGTCCAAGAGCATTATGTTGTAAAGTAAATGTGGAAGATGAAAACAGCATGAAGTCAAAATTACCATAACACATGCATTCATATGTATAATGCATATATATGAATAATGTATGTCTGTCTATACATTTATATATAATGAGTAAAATAAATAAACTATGCATAATAAAAGGCATATATATTTATAAATAAATTTAATTTACTGGATGAAATTTATATGTAATTGGACTGCACTGCATATATCCAGAGCCAGATCCAATCATGCCTGGACAACATTTGAGGATTTTGTTAGAATTTCGTCATATCTGCGAGTGCTCAATCTGAGCTACAACTCAGCAGAGCACTGTGACAGGGTCTCTGACCTGTATGCTCTGCCCTCACAATGAATCTTTGACTCCAGTCTCCGTGTTTCACCACTGCTCCATCACTGCCACACCTGGTAGTTAAGTATTATTCTCTCAAACCTGCAGACCATAGATTATGCTTTTATAAGTGCACAGGAAGAAGTTAGGTGGCTACTGGTGGATTTATTTCCTTCCTTCCCCCAAAAGAACATGGGAAAAAGATTTATTTCCTCTTAGAATTTGAGAGGACTGTGAAGGCTATGAATTGTATGCCATAGTATTGGGTTAGAAAATTCACTTTTGTTTATTTCTCATATTCAAATAAACCCTATTCTCCTGCTTGGTTGATGAAAAATTCTATCCTACTGTTAACACATAATTTTCAAAAGATAGCATTATATCGCTCAGGCAAATATAAAATGAACATGTGTCAAAGATTTATTCAACTCATGGATTACTGAGAGAACAGAAAGTTGTTAAAACTAGCCCAAAAACACATTAGAAAAGATAGGTATTTATAGGCAAGTTAATAAAGGTAGGTTAGGATAGGATTGCTGGGGTTAGATATAAAACTAGTTAATGTCTAACAGGGTGATAAACCATAACCTTTGAGGTGATCTCTTTTACTGATTGGAAATAAATTGCATCTCTACTGAACAAAAATCTGAAAGATAGCATAGAGCTTCACTAAGTGTGAGACCTCTATCAATAGTAAAGGGTGAGTTGAAGAACTCGCATTTGCCTAATCCAGGGTGGGCCTGCACCTCTGAATGACATTGAAGAAACAAGTCACCCATCTTTTGCTTTATGTCCAATTTTTGAGGAATTTTTATTAACACCCATCATTACTCAGTCTCTCTCTCCTTGTCAATGGGCTCATGCAAGAATCATGGGCCTTTTAGAAGCCAGGAAATAGGAAAAGGGCCAGGCCTCTGGCCCACTAGGACATCATATTTACCAGTGCTCCTTCTGTGACCTAATCTTGATGTTGTGTTCATGCCTCTACCATGTCCCTTCAGTGTGTGGGACAGACTCTAGGACAACCCCCAATGACTACCACCTTCTGGTATCCCTGCCTTCATGTAATTCCCTGCCCTTGAGGGTGGGTGGGATCTGCACCTGGCCTCCAGCTAATATAATATTGCAAAGGTGAAGTGATTTGTAATTTAAATCCCAAACCAGTTGAATCTGAGTAAATGGAGATTTTCCAGGGTGGAGCTAAATTAATCAGGTAGATTTGGATTAATCAAAGCCCTTCAAAGGGCAACTGAGCCATCCCAGAGGCAAGAGATTATCCTGCTGGCCTTAAAGAAATAAACCACCCTGTTTAGAGAGCCGTATGAGAAAGAATTGCAGGCAACACATAGGTGATAAGAATGGACCCAACTGATAGCCAGCAATAAAACCTTAGTCTTACAGCCATAAGGAACTGAATTCTACCAAGAAGAAGACCTCAAGCTCCAGAAAGGAACAAGCCTGGATAACACCTTGATTACACCTTCATGAGACCCTGAGAAGAAGCTCCAGCTAAGTCATAATTGGACTCCTAACTCACGGGAACTGTGAGATAATAGGTGTGTGCTGCTATAAATTGATAGGCTTGTGACAATTTGTTAAGCAGCAACAGATAACTAATATGCTCAGGACACTCCACACGAAGCCTACTCCACTGACAGCAGACATGCCCACAGAGTTCCCCTCCAATGCTCTCAAGCCCTATTTTCATCCATCTTCAGCCTCCAATGGCAATTCTTCTGTCCAGGATGTGGAATGAAGCCAGCCTGGGTCTCTGCCGGACACAGAAAGCCCTCAAAACTCCATTCTTCTTAGACCCAGAGATACACCCTCACCCTACCCCCTCTCCAAAATCATCTCTTATTTTCAAGTTAGCCCCCTAAAAGCTTCGAGATCCTAATCATTAGCCCCCACATCTTCCTCTTTGGAATCCAGGTAAATTCTTCTCCCTGGGCATGAAACTCCAAAGCGCCATACTTACCAATCTTGGGAAGAGGGAGAGAGAGAAAATGCTATAAGCACAGCTCCAGCTATTAGAAAATTCAGTGTTGGCCTCTCTTTCCTGGAAGGAGAGTGAGGAAAGGAGATTCTAGCAATCTTCTTGGAAAAATTCTAATTTTTTCAAATTAGTAACTCACCTTTTTAAAGAAAGTTGCTGTGATGTACACTATAAAACCGGGATGCAATGAAGTCTTTGGGGGGCAGAATTACAAAATACGTGAGAGTTCTTTACTGTTTCCTGATGACGTACTTTGCATTCCTTAAGACTATGAAAGAGAAGAGGAACCAGAGGAAAACATGTAGCATTTAGTAGTAATGAAATGGAGGACATGGCGGCAGGGGAGGATGAAAATGCTTCAGCTCAGGAGAAGCTGCGTAGGAGGGCTACAAGGAGGTAAGTTTTGGGTATCAGCCTGTTGGTGAGGCCAGCTCTGGAACTTGCTGGTTATTGCCTCTGCACTGGGGATTCTCAAACTTGCCTACACAGTAGACTCCCCTGGGGAGCTTTTAAAAAATCCTAGTGTCCGGGCCACAGATCAATTAAATCACATTTTGGGGCCTAGGACACAGGTATCAGTATTTTTAAAATATCATCATCTTTTAAAACTTCGCAGGTAGTTATAATGCAGCCATTTTAGAACCACTGCTTTACACTCTTTTCCTTTGTACAGAGCAGGAGTTCTCACACATTAGCACTGGAGCATCACGGGGGAAAAACTGGTAACACCAGATTCCCAGGGCCCCATCCCCTAGAGTTTCTGATTCCTTAGACTGAAAGTAGAGCCCAAGAATTGCATTGCTAACAAGCTCCCAGCTAATGTTGATGCTACTGAGTGGAAAAGCATTTTTTGAGCAGGCAAGGGCTAGGTTATATCTTAATGAAATTGCAAGCATAAATTTGAATAAGTGGTTAAAATATTTAACCATTCACAACCATATGTGACCTGTGTTTCATGTTTATGGAATACTTAGGATTAATAATTCCAGATTCTACATTAGTTTTTAATTTATCTTGTTCCCTAAGCGGCATGGCTGAGAGATCAACTGCATCCAGGGAGAAAGACCTCTGAACAGAGACCAATACGTTCACTTCAATGCACCCTGCAGGCTAGTGTCCGCTAGGGATCATGTAAAAGATACCAGTGCTTGGTCCTCACCCCAGGATATGCTAGTTTACTGCATCTGAGGAGGGGCTTGGATGGACAATAACATATATATTTATGACATATTAATATAATATAATAATATATGTTATATATAACAATATTATTAATATATAATTAATATAATATAATAATATATAAGTATTATACATTGTTCCATATGATATATATTAATTAATGCTATATATATAAATTATTTAATTAATTAGACTTTATTTCTTAGATCAGTTTCAGACTTACAGAGAAATTGAACAGAAAGTACAGAGAGTTTCCATATACCCTCTTGTTACCCTCATACAGTTCTCCCTATTATTAACATCTCGCGTTGGTGTGGCACATTTTTTACAATTGACGAACCAATAAGTGTACATTATTATTAACTAAAATGAATAATTTACACTAGGGTTCACTCTTTGTGTGTTGGAGTTCTGTGGGTTTTGCAAAATGTATAACGTTATGTATCCTTACGTATCCATCAATATATTATCATACAGAATAGTTGCACTGCCCTAAAAATCCCCTGTGCTTCACTTATTCGTCCCTCCCCTCTTTCTCCCAAAGTCCTGGCAATCCTTCATCTTTTTATTGCCTACAGCTTTGCCTTTTCCAGAATGTCATATAGTTGGAATCACACAGTATATAGGCTTTTCAGACTAGCTTCTTTCACTTAGCAATATACATTTAAGTTTCCTCCATGTCTTTCTGTGGCATAACAGTTCATTTCTTTTAAACACTGAATGATACTCTATTGTCTGGATGTGCATTCATGTTTGTTCCTTCATTCACCTACTGAAGGACGTCATGATTGCTTCCAAGTTTTGGCAATTACAAATAAAGCTGCTATAAACATTTGTGTGGACTAAGTTTTCAACTCATTTGGGTAAATACAACAAATGCTATTGCTGGATTGTGTGGTAAGACTATGTTTAGCTTTGTAAGAAACTGCCAAACTGTCTTGCAAAATGGCATACCTATTTCTCATTCCCACTATCAATGAATGAGAGTTCCTTTTGCTCCACATCCACTCTAGAATTTGGTGTTGTCAGTGTATTGGATTTTAGCCATAGATATGTAGTGGTATCTCATTATTGTTTTCATTTGCAATTTTCTGATGACATATGATGTGGAGCATCTTTTCATATGCTTATTTGTCATCTGTATGTCTTTTCTAGTGAGGTGTCTGGGCGTTTTCTTATGAAGCCAGAGTTGATGATTGCTGATTCCTAGAACTCTCAAAGACCAAACATGGAGCCCAGTGACATTGTGAGAGAACAAGCTCCATTTTTCTGCCTTGACTTAAGGAAAGTAGACTCCTCAGTGTCCTTGTATGGTCTTGCATCCCACCCATATCCCCTCAGCCTTAGGATCATAAAGTACAATGGCCTGATTTCCATGCCCCAGGGCTTTCTCCAACTCCACTATCCTTCTATTCTTGTACAGGAGAGGCTGAAAGTATCAGAAAATTAACCCCCACACATCCCCAGGAGTAGCCCTCAACCAATATAACCAATGGGAACTGGTGTGTAAACATCTCAGCTTTCTTGTCCCTCCAGTAGGATAATTCTAAGATGTGTTCTACACTCTCTTGAGAGTTCCCTACCAGGACTGAGCTCCACTTTCCCACAATGGTGACTCTTTTGTTTCACATCCTTTATTCCCTGCTTTCCTTTCCCTGTCTCACTCCTCTACTTATCTACCAGTGTTTCGTGGCATCAACTGCCAAATAATCTGCTTACTCTTACATTCTGGTCTCAGGATCTGCTTATAGAGGAGCCCAAACCACAGCAGGCTCTGTATAGAGTGAAATGGGTGCTAGAGGAGATTGGGCAGGACATAAAGTTGAAAGTCAAGTGATGCTAAGAAGGCCACATAGCAGATTTGTCCCTGGTCAAAGGGAACTGGTGAGTATTCAAGCAATATAACATTTGAAGCCAAGAAGTAGCTTTCCTTCCATCACTTTGGAAGCCCTCTGCCATGAACTGGGCTCTCTGACCACTAAACTTTTTCCTAGAAAATGGGAAAATATGCAAATCAGTCAAAACCTGCTCTCTTTTCCCATTGTTACAAATGTAATTGGTCTTACCCTGGGTTCATCAAAAAGCTGAGGGGGAGGTGGAGGGCTTATGTTATATTATTTTATTAAGGTATATAATCTCAGGGAAGAGGAGTAAGAAACAGGAAGAGTCTCGAAGGGAAGAAAGGAGAGTGAATAAGAGGGGGCTAAGTTATGGAGGTGGCTGCCACTAGGGAAACTGTTGAGCCAATCACAGACCCGTGCCTTTGGGACTCCATACAAGCTACATCCCAAGACTGATAGCAGCTGAGAGTAGTGAGAAAGCAGAAATCATGTGACCACTGGCTCCCATCACCAATAGTACAAAGACCAGTTTTCAGGGGATGGTTGGTGAGAAAGGAGACCAGAGTCAATCCTCCCATGGTTGCCCTACCTCCAACACCCAACAATGAGAAACTGAAGAGGAAGGTGCGACTCTCTCACTCTCTCTCCTTTCTGCCTTTTTCAAGAGATTGAGTGCCCTAACTTCCCAGAGACTGCCTGTGAGGTATTTCATATATATCCTAATTCTTTCTAAAATTTTAGCAGCTCTCTTATCTTAAGAAAGAAAGACAAGGGAAAGAAATAGAAAAGACAGTGCTTCCATTGTCTTTTCAAAATAACAGAACTGAGCTTCTCTGGCCCTGATTTCCCAAGACATTGTAGGCTCCATGAAACTCTACTACAGGTTCTAGCATCAGGGCCATTTCCTGTGAATCCATGTAGCTGTTATTTGCCCCAATCCTGGTGCATAGGGAAGCACAATCTTCCTTCCAGAAAGAAGTTCTACACAGACATGGAATACAAGGCAGTTCAATTACATTATAATTGACTCTAATTGGCCCTCCCACGGGCTGTTAAGTTCTTTATCTGCAGCCTGATAGCACATTAGAAAGCTGTAACACCTCCAGCCTGCCCTGGAGAACACAATAGAAAATGTTAAAAAAAAAAAAATCCACCAAGCAACTGAGCTTGGAAAAAGAGAACTCTGGTGGGGTCAATAAAATGGCAGCCATTTTAGGAGGAGCGTCGAGGAGCTCTCAGGGGGATATGTGAAACTTCTGACTCCCTTCTAACTGCAGACGGAAAAGACAAAAAAAGGTCTTGAGAGATTATTATCAATGCACTAGGAGTTTCTCAAATTGACATATCTTCCAAGAAACTTTTCTACTTTCCTTCATTTGTTCAGTATGTGTTGACTCCAGCTAGGTGCCAGGCACTGTGTCAGGACTGGAGATATGAAGTGGAGATGACATAAGTAGTGTCTAGCATGAAAGAAGATTCAGTTAGATGACAGCAGGACCAAATGAATGTGTGAAAAGGTGGGGAGAGAGTGGATGAAGAGAACTGAGCAAGAGTGCTCCAGGCAGTGGGAAGAGCAAGGGTGAAGGCCCAGAGTTCAGAGTGGACACAGCAGGAATTTACCTGAGCCCTGTGCTCTTGGAAAACAGCAAAGCTTAAGCAGTCCCCCTACAATTTTTTTCATGTAGAACACGTATGGCAAAGAACCATCCTTCCTCATAGGACTTAGAAAAGATGCACAATGACCTCCCTGTTTACTCCCTAGACAAAGCCAGACACACACCCTCCAAATTTCCATCCTTGCCTCATAAACGATGGGCTAACCTGTTCATCCCCGCTGATCAATTGGAAGAAAATGCTTAATAACTAAACTTTGGTTAAGATTCTCTCCTTCTCCCAGGTGTCTGAACTTTGACCCACCTTCACCCTGAAATGGCACACACTCCTCTTCACAGCCCCTCTTGAGAAGAGCTTGTTTCAAGGTAAAACGTTCTCTGATGTACTATCCTGTCATGTCACTCTCCTCCATCCCACTTCCCCACTCCAGGTTCTGTCTAGCCTTTTTCACTCTTCTCTATAAAAGAAAAGTCCTCTTTGCTTAACCCTTGAGATGCTTGCAGATATATAAACAGAGCATTCTCCTTATTGCAATAGCCTCTTTCTCCCTATTATAACATTCTTTTCATCCCCTTGCAATAATCCTTTAGAATAAAGTCTTCCCTTACTAAGTCAATGATTTGTTTTTTGT